CTTATTAGCACACTCCGGATTGCGAATCATTTTTGTATTAACCATATTGTATACTAAACCAGGAATGAGTGCACACAGGACCATTTGAACAAGCAATGGCCTTACGGTGTTTGAACACCTGTAGTGCCAGATACATCAAGCTTCATTATTTCTGTCGCGCTATTGACGAACATGTTCCAGGAGACGTTACTCTTCACATGATACCACAAAAACTTCATTAGCAGTTGGTACACCCGAGTATGTGAATAACGAATGACTCCTCCCAGACCAGATATTGCATATTTAAGTATTAAGCATATAGCTCCATCAAGACAACATTCCAGCTGCCAGGAAGTCGTGCTTATTTTCTGCATCAGTAACATCAACCTGAAAGAAATCAGTGACCGGATAGCTTCGTCTCTAGTATGCGCCGCACTGGGTGACTTGGTAATTCGTTTCTGACGGACGACAGCCCTTCCTAACATCAGGACCCTTTGTACATTCCAGTACCATTAGCAAAGTCAACGCCATTCCAGCCCTCACTGTGGTTTACCAGAGGTCAGTTTTACCTTCCCTGTATTACCTTTACGTTAAATTTCTTCTTTTTCTTTCTATGTTCAGAAGCGGTCACGGGTCTATGGAATTTGAACAACTGACGTATTAGATTCATCGCTCATATTTAATCATTCTTATATCAAAACATAATAATTCATTTGTTGGACGAATTCACTGGGTTGAAGCTTCATTAGTCGCTTAATTGGACAAGCATAGTTATCCGCACAGCAGCGCGGTGACATTTAACATCAAGCATGGCGAAGCAGCTGATCGGAAGGCGAAACGGACGTCGAGACAACGAACGATGTATGCAGAGGAAAACGCGTTAATCGGTGGGTCTACGACCGGCACCGCGAAGGGGGGAACGGGTGAACACATGTGCTGCCAGGCTGCGTCAGCAGCCGTCGGCAGAATTTAGCTTCGGATGAGGGGGCAAGGCTAGGAGAGGTCTGAAATCAAAACAAATGTCGATGGATCTGTTGTTCGGAGCGGAAGTAATACACATGCGACGGGAGCGCTGAATCTTAACAATAGTTCATATTATGCAGATTGTAAGAGAGTAGTACACATAGCAACGATATCAAAAAATTGTAATCGCCACAAGTGGGAAATTATTGATCTCGTTCATCCCACCTTCACTTAGCTGTATTTTGTTTCAGAGGGCAATATTCAATACGAAACGTGCAACGGTACTGTATTCTGCAGTACAACGATGATTCCCTGTTGCCAAGAGGTAGCTAAAGCAGCGGTACAGTTCTTCCATCACCATGCACATAACCAAGAACGAGATATTCTAATTGAAACGTTACGTTGAACTCTGTTATAAAGGGGGTCTAGCGGATTTTCTGCTATTGGGCCTGGCGCTCATGCTTAAAGGGAAAAGAAAATTTATCGTTAGACTGACGGTCTTCCTTCAATTTTCATACTAGGGCCCTTTTTAATGCATTTATTTTCATTAACTTAATAGTGCGTCGTCGATCGTCATTTCCATATCATCAGCCGAGAGTACCTAATTTTAATGGCACGCGGAGCGGAGACTCTCCTGTTGCCTTTCCGCGTTGTGGTACTCATTTATCAACCTCGGAGTGAACTGGCCAAAGTTCGAACCCGAGGCCAGTCTATAGTGAACTCGACGTTCTACCGACTGAGCAACCCGTCATCGCGCGCATGCTTACACAAATTGCGTATGTCATGTCACGCCATGCTTATGAAGCAATGTAAACAACGAGTGACAGCGGCTAAGCGTTGCATTTATTTACAAGTTGCCCCCGAACCATCAGTCGCGCTGAAACTCACCTGTAGACGCTCTGAAGCGGCTTATTGTCTTTGAGCCAAGTCACTTCCGGTGAGGGGTTTCCGACCACACGGCATTCGAAC